GGTGATATTTAAGACACCAAACTTAAATAATTGCGAAAATACAATAAAAATAAAACACCAATCAGAGATTTGTTTACTTTTATTAAAATATTTTTCAATTTTATAAACTTTTTATAATTTATTTTTCAATTTTCAAAATCTTATAAAGTATTTACAATATTTAAAGTGAATTTTAAAGAAAATAACAAAAATATATTGTTATTTTAATCGAGTGTAGTAATCACTACACTGAAAATTGTACACATTGTCTAATCTGCGTACAATCTTCATTCAGAAAAATATTACATTATCCGTTTTATACATGGAAAAAGTAAATTTCCAAGCCTGCGAAGAACACGTCTGAATACGTCCACGCATCTTGTTACGCCCTAAAAAAAGATTTTCATAAATTAACGATAATAAAACTCATTTTAATATATTTTATACATAATTGATGAAATAAAATCTAAAATTTTAGTTATTTACAATTAAACATAATAAACAATTGCAAAAATAAAACAATTTAAACATATTTTCTCACTTTTTTTTGTGTTTGTGGCTTGGATTTCTCTTCGAATAAACCTTCAGAGCCACCATATTTGATTTCTTTCACATCAGTTTTATTTAAGATTTTGGTATTGTCCTCTTCGTCTTTCTTATGATTTTCTGAAAGAAAAACAATTTTATAATTTAAAAATAAGTCATTTATTTATTGAAAATTATAATATCGTCATTACGAATATACACAATATTAAATAACAATAAAATAAAGCAGACAGAAGGATTTCATTTGTAAAGATACATCACAATCGTACAAGTGTTTTTTTTATATATATTTACGGATTATCAGTGTTCTTGTCAACAATGTAACTCGCTTACTAAGATTTAATAATAATACATTGGTAACAAGAAGTCCTTCCGTTGGTATATTCTGATGGATAAGAAATCATTTTATCGCCTACACGAACTGCAATTCTTATATCAAATGCATATTAATTTCTAAATCACGCAAATAAATATTACACAAAGTTATGAATTATAATGTGTTAAGATGTTATCTGTTTATGCAGTTATTTAATGTCAATGTTAACGCGACTTGAATAAAAGTTGATAAAGATTAAGAAATCAATGTCTTGTGTGTTATATTATTAGTCTTTTATGATTTATTGTTTGTAATCTTATATCAGTGTTTTATTGTGAGATTTAAATTGAGTAATATAGTAACATCAAAACAAAGAAAGAGGGGCTAATGCCCGAAACGAGACTTGTAAATTGCGTCCCAACTGAATAAAAGATGAATAATCTGCCAAGTGTTGAAAAAAGTCACTGTAGTGTGTCTGTATAAAGCAAAGTAAACTACAACGCGGTTTCATCAGAATCAAAAAAAAAATTATTTTTCATTAGAAAAAAAATTTTGTATACATTAAAGAAAGTTCTAAAAGTGTTACATCAACTTTAATTTTTCATGTATATAATAAACAATTAAAGCAAATAAACTTGAAGGACTGAAGATGTACAAATAATATCATGCCTAATAATTTATTTAATATATTTCAAAATTACTTTTATACCTAGATATAAGCAAGGCGAATGAAAATGTTGACTTCTACAAACAAAGAGAAAATCAAACATAAAATATCGAATATTTGTGGTCTTACCTTCATCAAATTTTTCTAATCCGATTTCATCTCCTACGGCGTTTTCATTAGTTTTTGAAACTTTTATATTTAGATCAAATTGATTTTCATTTAATTTAATGGCGACAGTTTCATTTTTCGATATTTCTTCACTTGTATCAGATAATTCTTTAATTAAATTTTCTTCAATTATTTTTGTAGAATTATCCACCGAAGAAAATTCGTCTTCAAGGTTTTTGTCATTTTCCGCAGGTAATTCGTCACAAATTTCGTACATTTCTGTTGATAAATCAGATTTGTCTGATTCGACATAAACAGAAGACGATGTTGGGCTGATAAATACTAATTCACATGTTTGGTGAACCGGCAAATGACCTCGAACTATTATAACATTTTGATACGTAGTACAATCGTCAGATACTTTGTTTCCGTTTGTGGTATCAGGAACGTCACCTTCAATTGACATCGTATCTGATTCCGTGCTATAATCAATTTCGGACAGAGCATCTTCATAGTCAAGCTCGTCCTCTTCGTATATTACTTCACATACTAACGAATTTTCTTCCAGCTCCAGAAACGCTCTATATAACGGTCGTAGTGTATAACCGCCGTTTACTATCGATGTGATTTGTGCTGGAGACAATGGAATTTTTGGCACGTTCTTCTGAAAAATGAGATTTCATATTATTTCTTAAACATTAAATGAACCTCAATTAAATAAACGTTTAACAGTTTATTGTAAACTAATAGCCGAATGGCTAACTTGTAAGCTAATTTAATAACATTCATAGGCATGTATTTTTACAAATACATAGTAAATAGTTTGTTGAATTTAACAGCAGGGCCGAAAATGTATTTCGGACACTTGTGTTACTACTAATGATACATAAGGCAAAAAAAAAAAAAAATACATTTAAAATGCTAACACGTTTTTTTAATTTATTGTATTGTATAATATGGCGATTTAGTGCTATAATGTTTAAAACGTAATCCGTAAAGTTGTCGACAGCGTGATTTAAGTATTTTTATTGAGTACATTGTATTGAGTGTATTGGTTTTTTAGTATTTTATTGCGTATCGGCGTTTATAGTATTTTATTGTTTTGATGATTCTATTAGCTTATGGATGTTTGTATGAGTTTTGTAGAAAATATTGTTGTCCTATATATTTCGATTGCGTCCATCTGGCTATCAGGTCTTCCTTAATTTCCAAAACAGTGTGTTATGTATATGAAAGTCGAGACTTAATATAGAAAGTGCAGTGGAAGAAGGTCTAGATTAGCTATGTAATAACTTTTGGTTCGGGCAGAAAGCCATGTCGATTTAAAGTATAGTGGTGCCTCGTATAACGTACGCCTCGAATAACGGACGCTGCAAACAACGGACTTTCTGTTTGGCCGTTACGTGAGTCGATTGCAGTCTCAGTAGACTTAAAATACCATTCGAAATGCATATGTGTAAAAATTGAAATAAATTATCTGAAGTTTTCAATATAATCGTTAAGTAATATTTAATGAAACTTATACAGAAGTGTTTGTTTTATTTTTCCTAGCCACATTCAACAAGAGGTACAGTACTACTTCATATAAGAATAGGCATATTGAAAATTGTTTGCCAATGTTAATTCTGACTTCTAGAGAAGTTGAAATTTAACATCACATCTATTACAAAATTATTTGTATTTTTCTGTTTTTTATTACGAAATTTAGTCAAGATATTTAAAAATGTGAAGAGGAAAGTTTTGGGTATTAAAACACAATTTATAATTGCTCTTTTTTGTTAGCCAATGTTCTATAATTATATGAAATTTATTGAAGTTATTAAAGTTTTTTTAATGTACTGTATTTCTGAATTCATAATATCGCAAAAATAGTGTTTAGTGCATGTTGAAAATCAAATGCATGCACGTTATATTTTAACTACGTAAAATACTTTTTACGTAGTTAAAATATAACGTGCCTGCATTTGATTTTCAAATGTAAATATAACAAGCATACATTTGATAGTTATGCAATTTGAGTTTAGATTCAATTTAAATATTATTTATTCTACGTTTATCTATGACATAAATTAAAACTTCCTACTATACTCACTTGATAAGCATACACAACATAATTGTCATATCCAAATGACGAATAAATTTCGTTAGAAAAGCACTGAAGATCTGTGAAGAAATATTTTATAATTATTATTTATCTATTTTATAACAGACTACTAATATACTTAATTGTGTTAATGAAACAATAAACTGTAAATAACAAAGCTGCAATTCACGATTAAGTTCTTGATAAATGCTAAAGCGTATTAATTCGCTTGTATTAAAGGTATTACAAATAATGGCTTTAATGATAAATTGTATTAGTAAATAATTAAGCATTTATATACAGCTTGCTGAGAGATTCTGGTATGACACATAACAGATATCTATCTAGAGGTGAGATCACATCTGAGATTAATTGCAAATTAATATAAGCAAATTTGAGATTTAAGATTATTAGATCCCCTTCACCCGCTTTTACTACATCCTCCCCTCTTCCGAGACTAATTAGAAAACTTTTAGACGGGCCTAAGTAATAAGTTAGATTTTCTGCAAAAATACAAAAACCGCATCTAAAATAGTACAGTAAAAGAAGGGGGCTTCAAGAAATTTTTAATCTTCTTTCTCTCCCCCGCGAGGGAATTTCCAAAAATTTCATTTTAGTGTGCCTTCTTACGACGTACCCTAACTGTATAGCTAATTTCAAGTTTCAATCGTTTGCCGTTTGGGCTGTGTGCTTATTATCAACTCGTCTCTGTCATACATATACACGTATATATTCTAAAATCATTTTAATTTCAATATTAGATAAAACTGCAAAGGAAAATTTTTATATTCATTATTTCCATATTAGTCTATTTAATGCATCTTCACGAATATAAATAAGAAAAAACCCCGTTACCATCCTTGAATTCAAATAAGGATTGATTTATAATGCAAATGTTATTAATGACATTAAACATTCCATTGAAAGCAAATAATGCAGCATTTCATTATATATAATAATTTCATTCATCTTTTAAAAAAATTTTAAAAAAGTTTTAACGCTTTTTTTAAATGTTAGGACAATAACATTGTTTATTATCGCATTATGGACACGTTGTAAACTAATCAGTGTAATTACACACATAAGAGAATTTAACTTACTTTCAGCATTCATTTTGGCAAAAATATCTCGCTTTCGAAAAAATCGCGTCCGAAAACAATCGCTTCTAATCAACAATTGAATTTTACAATTGTTGAAATCTCGTATATTGTTAGCGCGTTTTATTAATGTCGGGGCGCCCCTAGCGGGAAAGATAGAAGCCCGCGTTTTTTTAAGCTGTGTTCTGGGGTTTTTTATGGCGAAAAGTCTCTGAGAACTTGTATTCGCTATCATCTGACTGTATATTTCCAACGAATATAAAACTTATGTTTTGTTTACGCCGTGTCTAATTGAACCTCGTAACGTGGTGTTACAACATTCGGGCAGCCGATATGATAATGATATAAGTTAAGGAAATTTAGATACGGCGAATAGGGGTTCAAAAAAACTTGACGAAAACGTTCAGTGAACTTATGGCCGGGATTGATAAAACTGTGGTGGATCTTTTGTGGGGTCGTCTCGTTTACAATGACGACAAACTGTCGTCATTGTAGACGAGACAAACTGTATAGGTATTGTTAGATCCACTGGTAGTGAGAGGGATTGCCCTGAAGCCGATTCTGTTTCCGACTACCGAAGAAGATAAATGCTGACGGAAATCAGGTGAAGATGCTAACTAAGGATGTAGATATTGGAAGTGTCAGAGGCTTCGCCGAAGAGTCTCAGCAGTCCTAAATCACAGTATCGCTTGCCAAAGTTAGAATATCTGAAATTTGATGGTAACCCTAGAGGGTGGCTGAAATTTCGCAGTCATTTTAAAGGAATTGTTGAAAATAAAAGTATCTTAGCGGAGGATAAATTCCAGTATTTGCTGCAGGTCACTAAGGAGAAATCGAAGGCACGAGAAGTCCCAGACAGTTTCCCAAGAAGTAGTTTTCTCAGTTTTTTTAACCATCATTCTCAGCGGTAGTTTAAATTCAAATCTAGATGTTCATAAAGTACAGGCTACATTTTATTCACTCGATTTTCGTAATGCATACTTCTATTTATTTAATGAGCCTATAGTTGTAATATCCTACGTGTGGGAAGATGCATTATACAGTAGACCCCCATAACGCGAAGATACGTTCCACTTTATAAGAATTTCACGTTGTAGGAATCCTTAAATACATGAGCCAATCACAGCCCGACACGTGTCAAATTTACGGACTACGGCTGTTTGAAAGGTTTTCTTCCATAAAATTAATCAATTTTAGACTAATTCGACTCAACATTTCCAAAACACGTATAATTTTTTGGGAATAATCCATATAAACTATGCTATATACAAAAAATTGTAGGATTACTTACCAAGTGTGCACCGTTCGACGTCGCTATTGCTTAAGCTTGTTTTCGTCGCGGAGCAGCGCACCAAACGGCGGCCGCGATTTCTGATAAATTATTTTTCTGCGAAAAATTCGTTGAACTTTGGAGACATCATTAATATAAATAATTTTTATGGCCGTTGAATAAGAAATGTTTCTTTCACAAGAAATGTATAAAATTA